GATCGGCTGCTTCTAGTTATAGAAGGGAAGGGGTCGACTGGAAGTTTGGGGTGCGGTGGTGGGATGTGTGGGACCCAATTTTTTAATAATATCTAAAATACTTTTATGAAATAATCTTTAATACTTTTTAAAATATAAATAAAATCTAGTAAGGGTATTATAGTCTTTTTTATGTTTACGAGGGACCAACAATGCAATAAAATCAAACAGTAAGGATGGCCCGAGTGCAAAATAAAACTTAAGGACCAAACATGCAATTTTAACTAAACTACAGGGACGATTTCAGTAATTTGTTCCAAAAGTTTTGAAATAGCACCACCGATCTAGAATATGATTTTATTGCGGTTTCGGCCTAAAACCTTTTGAACATTTTTAAAATGGTGAATTTAATGTTTTAATATGATTTTTCATTTTCTTACTTTTACAACAATTAAAAACAAAAATTGAACAAATATCGTCTTGATTATATGAATTTATCATTAAGCATCACATCATATTTGTTAATGGCCTTTATAAACGACTTATTTAGAAGAATGTCTAACTACTTACACATATAATTAATGATCCACCGTTTTCTTGTTGTTTGCAGGTTTATAATAAAATAAATGAACATTTTACTAATAACACTTGGAGTTGTTACTCGAGAAGGGTGGCCATTGAAGGAACAAAGGAGCAAAGATGTAGGAATGTAAAAACCTTGTAAAAGTCTGGATTGGGTTAAATTAGATATTTTTTCAAGAGATAAGCGGAGTTGGTCGTATGATAGAAATGATGACTCTTGGGTGTTGTTTGCTTTTAAAAAAAAAAAAAAAACACTTCAAACCATTTAATGTTGCGCCACGCAACAATTGATCATTCACAGCTGTTTGTTTTTCAGAAGACTTATGACTTAAAAATTGTTCCGCGTGTGCTGTATGGCGCAACACTAAACCAACTGCTTCAAACATCTTCACGTCTTAGTTTAACTTACTGCAACAGTCTGCAGACGTTAAAAAATAAACATATTTTTTATTACATGCTGCAAATAAACATATTTTTTATTACATGCTGCAACCGTTTGTTCCACCTCTTCTACTACAGAGGATTGAAGAGGTGGTCCGCAGACTTCAAACAATTTATCTTTGAAAAAACAAACAGCACCTTAGTTACGCTCTCTTAGACGAACAATTGATAAAAAGTGTTGCAAGGTGGTGATTGAAAAGTAAACATTCATATGTAAAATGTGGAGTTGAATAGATACCCTACAAAGACTAATATGAAAAATAGAGGAGTGGACCTAGACACAATTCTTGTTCTTTATCCGTGCTATGATTCCATCAATCCGAAGTTGATCAAGATCAAATCATTTATTATTCATTTGTGTTTTCATAAAGCTTTTATGGTTGTTGATTGGAAACTGGTGGGAGTAGTATTTAACAAACATTAATAGTTTTTGTGATATGTATTTTCGCCTTCAACACTCTAACTTGGATACCAGAGCAAAAAATGTTTTGAAGTCATTCTTTCAGCTTTCCTTTTTGAAGCTTGGAAGCTTCTTAAGGCTATACGGAGTGCAATGGTTTTTGACGCATAAGATGACATGGAAAGGGAAAGTCACTAGTGACTTGGGGGGAACACCACCTCCGCCTTGTGACTTTGTGACCTTCCGTGAGTGCTGCTGCTATTCTTCAAAAATAGGAAAGATTTTTTTTTTCTCTTTATCACTTTCTTATCCCCCACCCCCACTAGCATATTACAATGGAACACCATTTCCTAGCTTTAGGGCATCAACAATGCATTAAACTCCATAGAATTCAATGGATTGCCACATCATTTTTCTAAATTCCAACTCAATCATTTTTTTTTTCCTACAATGTATACAACTTTACAAAGTTCAATAGAAAGTTCCAAAAGCTAATTTATAGTATGTATTTAAGATTAGAAAACTTTCCTTTCCCCATTTAAGAGTTCAATGGCCATTAAACTCAAAATCCATTGAATGTTAAGGTGACATCTCACTATGATAGAGTTTCATCCATTGAATGACAACTAGACTTGCCACCTCATTCAACTCTCTCATTGAACTTACCATAGTGGATGCTCTTAGTAAGTATCATGTTGAAATGTGTTTGGGTGATCATGTGACTATCTTTAACAACTCACAACGCTTTCATGCACTCCGTATAGCCTAACGAGGTGATATTCAATAGAAAAAAAAGAGTGTCGGGACATTCGTTAAGAATCAAGGCTATGCGTAAGTTACGTGTATCGTGACATGGCATTAAAAGTCATGTGTGACTTTTTCTTAAACACCACCCCTCATTTCAGTAAGTTTGAGGCTCCGTAAAGCTGGCTATGCTCATTCATAAGGGTGAGAGAAAAAGTGAAAAACAACGGTCTTGTGACCATTTGAAGCTGCCGTTTGACCAAAAAAACAATTTTTCAACCCACTAAAAATTTAAATAATACACAAACCCATCTCTATATTATACCATTTAAATCAACACTACAACACAAAAGATTCTCATTTCTTTTTCTATACTATCTCAAAAATGATCAAAATTCAAACACTCCAAACATCCCATACACACCCATTTCACCCATAAGCACATTCACACTCAATACAACACCTCATCAATATCCAAATTTTGAATCACCACCGGGAGGTTTCATAAATATGCTCCTTCCACCAAACTCACCAATTCCACAATCACCCATTTTTCAACAACAATACCAACACAATTACTTTCAACAACCAACCATTTACCAAACACCAAACCAATTCCAACAATTTCAATAATTCCAACAATTCCAACAATCACAGTTTCAACAGGTTCAAACTCAACCTTCCCAACCACCACCTTCACTACAACCACCTTCCCAACAACCACATTCTCAACCCCAATCTCCCCACAATGATGATGTCGAAAGGTTGTCCGAAAGTCAACCACAATCAACAAGAAGGCAACCAAGGGACAAAAAGGCTAAAATTAAAAGGGATGAAAAATGAGGAAGCGACACTATAAAAAACTTGGATTGCAATATCCACTGACGAGCTTACAGGAAACGCTCAATCCGGGATGACATTTTGGAACCGCGTTCTAGAACACTTCCACTCGCAAATGGGAAAATATGAATATCAGAGTTACGATGGTGCCAACAGAAAATGATGCGAGTTAAGGAGTAGTTGTACAAGTTTCAATGGATTTTACCTCAACCTCACAAACATACAGCGTAAAGAGTGTAATGATTTTGACCTTTTAATTACCACTTTTCAAGAATACAAAACCACCCATGGTGGTAAACCATTTGGCCATCAAAAAGCTTGGCGCGCTTAGTCACTCACAAACACAATCCATCGCTCCAACAAATGAACAAGAACTTTGGAGTCAAAAATTGACCTCAATGAAGATGATGATGATAACGACGAACCGGGAAAAAGGTCACCTTACGACGCCCAATGGAAGAGACAAGACGAAAAATACGACATCTTCATCGAAAAGGGACAAAGGTAAAAAAATCCGTTTATTCGGAACCAAATTTCGTTCAAATGCTTTTGCAAAAACTTAATGATCATCTTAACTTTCTTCAAAAAAAAGTTAGATTACAAAACCGCAATCAACGACTTGAAAATTATAAACACACCACTTTATCCGATCTTCCGCTCGATCAACTTGAACTTTTCAACAAAACTCGAATGCAAGATGAAAGACAAATATAAAGATTTATATTTTTAGGTCTTAATGTAATTTTTAATTTAAGCGTAAAATTATTTTTATTTTATGTTTTTTAAGTGTAATTTTTATTTTCACTTTTAGCAATGTATTTTTAATTTGGTTTAATGGAATTTTAGTTCACTTTTAGAAATCTTGTATTTTTATTAAAATTGAAAAAATAAAAAAATATAAAATTATTTAATGATATGGAGTGGTTGATATTTCCTAAATAGAGTAAGTATTGGTAAGAATATAATGAGATGATGTGTTATTGAGATGACATATTTTTGGAATAAATATGTACAGCCTAAGATAACATTTAATTGACGTCTTTTAATTTGTTAAATGCTAGATTTTTTTGGAAACAGTAACTTTTATAAAAAGAACCAACGACTAGCAAGAAACTAGTGAAGGAACAAACCAGCAGACGGAAACATTATTCAAACTAAAGTAAATACAAAAACAACAAACGAAAATTAAAGACATCACCCAAACGGATATGTTGATCATTCTTCCCAAGTGCACATTACTTGTTAAATGCTAGATGTGTGGCAGTTTTAGTATGGATAGGTTGTTACTGCTGATTAAACCGAGTATTGCTAAGTCCCTATTGTAATTTGTTTTGGTGCTACTTGCTATCGTTTAATCTTATTGTCGTTTCAAAAGAAAAAATAAATATTGATCCACTTATTCACAAGCCAACATATTTTGCTAGTGTTTGAATAATTTTTTAGTTCAAAAAAATTCATTAAAAATTATGCTACATTAGCTAGTAACATATAAAAAAATACTGATCCGCTTATTCACAAGCGGGCATATTTTGCTAGTTATTGAATAATTTTTTTCGTTCAAAAAAATCAATTAAAAATTATAAAAACAAGGTGATAACTAAATACTACAAATTTAGTTGGAATATACGTTGGATGAATATTTATCGGCTAGCAATACTAATCTACAGTATAACGAAACACGCCATCATATAATGACATCTAAAAGAATCCAATATTCTCAATCAAATGTGCCAATCGGAGCAAATTAATGAGCTACAGGTCATAAAAATTACACATAATCCTCAAGAAGTCAAGATCAATAATGCGATCTTGCCACAATAAAAAAAGATGGTTGAAGATTAATACGTTCGTTAACCAATTGCATGCATAAAGCAAGAAAAATAATGAAAATAATTAGTGAGACGTCCAGTATAATCTCAAATTGAAAACATCGACGATGTGATTCATGAAAATTCGTAATTCTATTTGCGTTTTATCCCAATTCTAAAGAAGCAAAACAATCTTGAAAAAATCTTCATTGATTGATGTCGGAGGCATCAGGAACCTGAAACAAACCGAGGCCGGCGGCTCCACGAGGCGGAGAAAACCCCAGAAACTTCTGCAAATTCGTCCTGATACTCATCGAACACAAGAAATACAAAAACGCCATTGAACAATCCGTCGGATCGTCTCCCCGTAAACCTCTATGACTCATCTTCTGCACAATACTCACCGGCACAAATGGCAACTTTCCGACTGCTTTTCCTTCATACAGACTGTTCATAACCCCAAAGACAACAGCCAGAACCAGTGCAACGACGGCGCTAGATTTGAATTTGGAGAGGGATAAATCTCTGCTGGAATCTTTCAGGGAGGTTTCGACCCGGTTGATCTTTTTCGCTTTGGATGTTTTTACAGTTGTTGGAGTCGTTTTCATGGTTTCGAGTTTCTTGGAGGCTTTATCGATGGTGGACTTGAGGGATTTGTAAGAGGTGCGGCGGTAGATCAAGAGCCATGAGATGGCTTCGCAGACAATGGCGGTGATTAAGGAGATTCCGGCAATGGTCAGGCTGTCGGAGTACAGGAAAGTTGTTGCCATTGTTGACGATGAAGAATAGGGGGCAGGGAGAGGAAAATATAGAGGATTGAAACAATTGGAGAGTTTGTGATCGATGTACCTTGACTGTGAAGCTTCGTTGATTATTAACAACAAAATCGAGGTTGTTATGATTTGGATAAGTTATACTTTTGGTGTTTGGATAGAACTTAAAATTCATTATTGAATCATCATAACTCCAAATTATACTTAAATGGTTTTTATAATTTTGATAAATTAATTTTATAGCTTTGGTATAAGCGCATTTGATAGAATGTGATCTCGAATTTGGTGTTCTTAATAAGTAAAGTAATCCGATCCAAACGAAATGGAAGAAACATGAATGTGAAATCGAATGAATAAATGTTTGGAGTACGGCTCAAGGTTACTACCACTCAAATGTATCACTTGAAACACTTGAATCTACTCTAATAAACGAAGATCCTTTTTGCCACATATCAATTTTTTCATAAACTTTGACGCTTGTCATTTTGTGATAATTTTGAAATAAATAATATTCATATGTCAATTATGGTTTTTTCTAATTTTTAAAATTAAAAAAGCACATAATACTTATAGTTATATATATATATATATATATATATATATATATATATATATATATATATATATATATATATAAAGTATCAAATGTTTTAATATTATAGTAAATTGCAATTAATATGTTTCTTGATTCCTTATTTTAATTTTTATTATAAAAAAATACTTATTATTTATATTTAATAATTTATTTTATTTAATTAATCCGTGTAATACACAAGTTTTACACATAGTAATAAAAGATATCTATTGTTAAGTAATGGGGATTGAGAAGTGGTTTATGTTTAACCTACTCAAAAAGGTGCTGACAACTTAACACGACATGAGCTTCACTACACACTCACTATCAATCCACATACATTTAAAAATTGTTACCACTCTATTTTATTAATTTTTTTTTTAATTTGAAAAAAAAAAGTATTTTTTTTTTATTTTGTCCAACTCCAATAAAAAAAAGTCAGAAGCTTCAACCAATCATTTTGTGCGTCTTTGCCCGTCTCATCTACCACTCCACAACCAACCTATCAGCCTTTGGGGTGGTGTCCACTAGTGGGTTAGTGTGCTACATAGAAAACCATGTGTGACTTACTCTCTCCGTACCTCTTAGTCTTAGACTATGGAGAGTGGTCACCACCAATCTACTGAAAAAGTGTTGTCACCTCTACGTCACGTCAATTTCACCACCAACCCACTAGACATAGTAAATGGTTACCACTCTACAATTTTCTTTTTTCTTTGTTTTTTTAAAATTTTATGATTAAATTAAATAAAAACATAATAAAATATTTTAGATTAATTGAAACCACGTTACATTAATTAAAAAACATAGAAAATTAAACCTAAAAAATAGAAAATTAAACCTAAATTACTAAAAAACATAAAAACACATAGAAAATGAAAACTAAAATACTAAAAACACATAAAAATAACATAGAAAATTAAACCTAAATTACTAAAAACCTTAAAAACATAGAATCTAGTTGCGCTATTTGTCGAGAACTTCTTGTTGAAGTTTTAAAAACATTCTTAAATTTTCCGGATCGAGATTATGTTGCGACACCGTGTTTATAATTTGAAGATCAGTGAGTCCCAATTGTCGCCGTTAAGCTTCCACCATTGATTCAATTTTTTTTTTCTAACAAATGTAGAGTTTTCTCTATTTTCTCCGCTAGTACGTCCTTGTTGATTGATTTTCCGCTAGAAGACGCCCCCTTTCTCGCTTTGTCCCTTCCCAGGGTCGGCGAAGTTGGACGTCCAGTGGACCCTCTCTCTTGGTGGCGTCGAACTCATCATTGAGGTCGAGGTTAATAGCAATGTACGACTCGGACATTCTCGGCCTTTTGTTGGAGCCGGTGGAAGATCTCGAATGCGCCTTTTCCGGATAAATGACCAATTTTTGACTATTGTGACAAACTTCCCACGCTTTTTGGTTGGCAAATGGTTTACCATTGTTGGTAATTTTGTATTGGTACAACGCGATTGATAAAATGTTGAAATCTTTGCTACCACTTCTATGCATATTCTTAAGATTGTCAAATACGCCGTTAAATTTGGTGTAAGCCGCTCAAAGGTCACGCCATTTTGCATTGACTGAGTCGTATGTCCGACTCATTTGTCTTCCTAATAACGTGTGGAAGTGGTCTAAAACACGATTCCAAAAGCTTTGACCCGTTTACGCGTTGCCGACATCCTCGTCTTGTGATATGAAAATTCAAGCTTTAGCTAAAGTTTCCTCCTCCTCAGCGGTCCATTGCATACTTTTGTTTTTCATTGGATCTTTTGATTTTTTTTGTCTTCTACGGCTTGGTTGTGTTTCTTCAACCCGTTCGTCGTCGTCGTCATTGTCGGGGTTTATAGGTTGAGATTGAGATAATGGAACTTGAGGTGGTTGTGAAGGTTGTGTGTGAAATTTTTGACGTTGAGAAGTTTGGGGTTGAGATTGCGAAGAATGTTATTGTTGAAAGGCTTGAAATTGGGGTTGATTGAATTGTGGTTGTAACATCCATAAAAATCATGCCAAATTTAAAACTTTTTAAAACATTTCAATAATTATTACAAAACTTGTTTTCAAAATGTTTTAGTGTAAGAACATCCCCAAATCAAATCAATAACTATAAGCCCGAAGCTTAGCGAGTTTCCCCATCATACCAACGCCATACAATCAAAATCATATCATACAATCAAACATCATGCATAATGAGCCTTCGGCCTGACTGGACCGCCTCACAGGCCTTTAGTCTATCTGGACCGCTCTCCGAGCTTTCGGCGCGTCTGGACCGCCTTACAGGGCCTACAGCCTATCCGGACCGCTCGCCAGGCCATCATGCATAATGAGCCTTCAGCCTGACTGGACCGCCTCGCAGGCCTTCAGTCTATCTGGACCGCTCTCCGAGCTTTCGGCGCGTTTGGACCGCCTTACAGGGCCTACAGCCTATCCGGACCGCTTGCAGGGCCTCCAGTCTATCCGGACCGCCATGTGTATGTTGGCCTTCAGCACAAAGCAGGATTGACTCAACCCAACCCCCAATCAAACAAACATGTGCAAATAAATATCATACGCTAGCATATTTAACAGTCAAACCGATCTAACAGATAACTAATCATAGCAACATCCTATAACCAGAATACAGACCTAACCGATCACTAACATAACATCATCCTATATACCAGGATACCGACCTAACCAGGTCACTAAGCATATCACCATCCTAACTACCAGGATGTAAATTAATAAGCATATCATGCAATAACTCGGATACAAATCCGAAAAGGGCCGACATTGGTGCCTTCGACCCTGTTAGTATAGTGAGGACAACTCACCTCTCAAGTAGCTCGAAATGATAATATTGAAATCCTCCAAATACAACTCCAACACCAACACCTACATCCACCAATGATCCAATTCCATAAATTCCCAAATTACCAAAATACCCCCATAAGTCAAACCGGTAAACCCTTAGTCAAAGTCAAAGTCAACGATCAAGGTCAACAATCCATGTTGACCCAACTCATCGAGTGCAACTCACTGACTTGTCGACTCCTTCCAGAACTCGAGAAATACTGAAGATCCTAGATGACTCTCCGAGTTCCCAGGCAACTCGTCGAGTCCATACGTGTCCATAAGTCAGAAAAACCCTAACTGACTCATCGAGTCGTCTTGCCGACTCGCCAAGTTCATGCAGAAACCCACAACAGCTAATCTTCATCGGACTTTCCGAGTTGACCATGCAACTCGTCGAGTCCCTTCAGTCCATTTCCAATTTAGGCGTTTTTAAGCTACCCCAAAGATCCAAATTATATATCCAGCTTCCTAAGGCACAGATTCCACGTAAAGTTGCAAACGTTACATGCATGCAAGGTCGTAAAGGCTTGGAACACCAAAAACCAAGTATAGAATGAGGTTTAGGGCATGTTGAGAGGTCAATACGAGATAAAGTTGATAGCTTTATGAATTTGGTACCTAGAGTAGTCAATATCTGAAGTTACAACTTCAGATCATGGCCAATACCCGAAATGGCTCACATATATGCTAAAAATGGCCCTAAACTGAAGCATGTAGAGATCTTACCAGAGAGAAGTCAAAGTAACGACTTGTTACCTTCAAAATGATGCCAAGTGAGGTAAAGTCAGATTCACGAGCTCTTCTTTGCTCCATGCTCCTTAATCTCCAAACCTTCTTCACAAAATGCACCAAATCACTCTTTAAATCTCACAAACACTCAATAACAAGATCTAGAGTGATTAGGGTTTCTTCTGGCCGTCAAGAGGTGGTAAGGGACTGTAGGTAAGTACTTAAGGTCCTTTAAATAGGGTACAAATCATAAAAATTAGGGTTTCGTCTTCCAGCTTCTACTCGTCGAGTCCGAGTCCTACGACTCGTCGAGTAGGTCCAATAATCCACACGGGCTAACACGCCTCTACACGACGAGTTGGGGCAACCAACTTGTCAAGTAGGTTCATAAACATATACATAATGATTTAAAACTTATACCTAGGATTCAGGGTGTTACAATTCTCCCCCACTTGAACTAGACATCGTCCTCGAAGTCTGCTGCAGCGAATAAGTCTGGGTAGTGCTCCTGCATCTCTACCTCCGGCTCCCATGTCTACTCGAATCCCGTCTTGTGATCCAATTGTACCTTTACCATAGGTACTTCCTTGTTCCATAGAACCTTTACCTTCCTCTCAAGAATGTCCATTAGCCTCTCCACATAATTCAGGCGCTCGTCGACTTGAATATCGTCTAATGATACCACTGCCCCCTCCTCTGCTATGTACTTCCGCAACTGTGACACATGGAAAGTGTTGTGGACCTGACTAAGCTCCTCCCGGAGATCCAGTCAATAAGCCACCTTGCCAACCCTGACAATGATCCTGAACGACCCAATGTATCGGGGACCCTATTTTCCCCTCTTCCTGAAGCGAATCACACCCTTCCATGG